GGGATAATCTCCTTAGGGAATGCGGGGCCGGGCGGGGGGGGCTCGCTGCACCCCCACGCTCCCGGCACTCCAATGCCCCCATTGTTTGGGGCCGGGACCCGGGGGGGGGGCCCGGGCAGGGGGGCACAGGACCCCTTGCTCCCCACACACCCCTGCCCTCCCCCAGGACCACCCCAGGGCGCTCCGGAGGAGGAGGGGAGACCCTTCCCCAGCGCTGGGGCTCTGCAGGAGCTGGAAGAGGATGTGGATGTTTGGGCTCCCTCCTTTCCAGGGGGATTTTGGGATCCAGGAGCCGGGTTGTCCGGCTTCTCCCTGCGCATCCCCCCACCCGCCCCCTCCCTTCCCCATCCCACTGCGCCGTGTCCGGGTGGTTTGGGAGCTCTGGGCTCGCACGTGCTGGAAGCCAAAGCTGCCGCAGCCGCCCGGGGCTCCCTAATCCCGGCACAGAGCCGTCCTGTTCGCACCCGGGGCATTTTTATCCTCTTACCGCCGCCGGTTTCCTGTCGAGCTGCGGATGCTTCGGGCGGCTCAGCATCGGCGGGACGGCCCAGGGCCGCTCTGGGGGGAGGGGGGGCCCGAGCTCGTATTTGCTGTGTCTCGGTTTTAAACAAAGGCAAAAGGTCAGAAGTGCTTAGGCTGGGCCCCAAAACTTAGAGCCGGCTCGGGTGTGTGGGATCCCGAAGGGGAGATGGACATCGCTGGGGGTGAATTCCGTGGTGGGGAGCCATGGATGGGATCAGGGATTGGGGCTTTTTGGGTCTGGATCCGTCACTGCTTCCAGTCCAGGAGGGCTCAGGCTCCGTCCTCCTGGAGCGAGGAGGGGGAGAGGGGCACTCACCCCTCCCAGAGCTGCAGGGTCCCCAAAAGGTGGGAGCTGGGGGTCCTGGGTGCAGCATCCCCCAAGGTGGGGCCAAACTGGGCCACAATCCACTAGGATGGCACTTCTGTCCCCTCTGGGATGGCACTTCTGTCCCCACCAGGATGGCGTTTTTGTCCCTACTGGGATGGCACTTCTGTTCTCATTGAGATGGCATTTCTGTCCCCACCAGGATAGGACTTCTGTCTCCTCTGGGATGGCACTTCTGTCTCCTCCGCTGGTGCTGTGGTTGGGGGGCAGGAAGGGGGCTGAGTTGGGGAAGTTTTGGATGGGGCTGGTGCCTGGAGGGGGGACTCTACAGGGTCCTTTCCTTGGAGGAGAATGACAGAGCCAGGCCTTGAGTGTCCCCAGAGTCCCTCCTGGGCGGAGCAGGGTCAGGGCAGGTGTCACCCAGGGTGGTTTGAAGCCCCCAGCCAGGGGGGTCCAGGGGCCCAGGCCAGGTGTGGGGGGCGGTGGGTGACCGGCCAAGAGGGGTTTAAGTCTCTTTTGGGGCATAAATGAGGCTTTTGATGGCCGGGGCCTGCGTGTTACAGTCATGAGACCCCGTTCAGAGGCCGAGCTCAGTCATGGGATCCAGGAAACTGAATTAAAGCGTCTTAAGGAGCTTTTTTCCGAGCTCTGCTCTGGTTTTCCACGTGCTTGTCATATGAACAAAGATGGTATAAAAGGGCAGAGGGGAAGGATCCCATCGGTGGTCGGGCTGGGAGAGGGGAGGGCGCCAGAGGGATGCCAGGGTGAGGTGGAGCTGGAGGGAAAGGACAAGGAGAGGGGAGCCCCTGGCTCTGCCCTGCCTGGTCAGTGAGGCAGAGGCCTGGGGACAGCAGGGACGGCGGGGACGGGGATGGTGGCAGAGCTGGGGGAGCAGAACCTGTGTCCCCTCTCCTCGAGCAGCACAGAGACCCCGACAGCGGCGGCACCTCCCTGGTGAGAGACGGAGGGGGCATCGTGGCATGGGGAGGGGGCACGGGGGGCAGGGGGCACCCACCGCCCTGGGGGGACACCCAGCACCTTGAGGGGACACCCACCACTCTGGGGGGACACCCATGACCCTGGGGGGACACCCACCACCCTGGGGGGACACCCAGTACCCGAGGGGACACCCAGCACCTTAAGGGGACACCCACCACCCTGGGGAGACACCCACCACCCTGGGGAGACACCCACCACCCTGGAGGGGAACCCGCGACCCTGGGAGGACACCCACCACTCCGGGGGGACACCCAGCACCCTGGGGGGACACCCAACCCTGCACTTCTGGCTGGGAGAGGACAGGGGTGGTGGCAGGGGGTCCCTGAGGGTCCCTGGGCTGGGTTGGGTCCGGGGAAGGGAGCCTGGGACTGAGAGGGTACCCACGGGATGGACCCACACACATGTGCACACACCCTCCACCATGTGTGCACACGTGTGTGTGAGCCTCCAGACACACACACACACACATGTGTACAGACACACACGTGCACACACACCCCCCCTCTGGTGCCCCTCCCCTCACCCCCGGGGTTGGCACACACAGACCCCCCCAGTCCCTGCTGGGCTGTGGCCCCACTGGCCCCTCACCCTCCCCCAGGGGCTGGAGGGTGCCCAGGGCTGGTGGGGTCACACCGGGGCCACCCGTGGGTGGGGTTTCACCCCCTGGAGATGTGGGGCAGGCTGGGGATCCCCGGCTCCCCTTGGATGATCCCCCAACTCCTTGGGATCCCCACACTCTCCTGGGATCCCCCAGCTCCCTGGGATTCTGCAGATCCCTGCAATTCCCCAGCTCCCTGGGGTCCCACATTCCCCTGGGATCCCCCAGTTCCTCGGGATCCTGCAGCTCCCTGGGCTCTTCTCTCCTGCCTTCCTCTCACGTCTCTCCCTCCACCCACAGGAGCCCCTCGGCGTGTGGGGCCGCAGCCCCTGCCCCCTGTGAGCTTCCCTTTGTCATCCTATGCCTGAGCGATCCTGGAGGCTGGGACGGCCAAGGGAGGCCCACGGGAGCCACAGCCCTGCGGTGACGGAGCCTGGAGCAGCAGCTGGGACCACCTGGATGGGATGGGACACCACTCCTGGGGGGCTGGGAGCGCCCTGAGGGGCTGAAGTGTCCCCTTGGGACACCAGGAGCACCCCGGGGGGCTGGGGACATCCCCTTGGTGGGGAAAAGCCAGAAACACCCTGGGGGGCTGGAGTGTCCCCTTGGGGGGCCAGAGCATCCCTCTGGGTGTCCAGAGCATCCCTTCAGGTGGCTGGGAGCATCACCTTATTGGGGTAAAAGCATCTCCTTGCAGAGGCCAGAGCATCCCTTTGGGACCCCAGGAGCATCCTGGGGGGCTGGAGTGTCCTCTTGGGGGGCCAGAGCATCCCTTTGGGACACAAGGAGCACCCCGAGGGACTGGAGTGCCTCCTTGGGAGGTCAAAGAACTCTGGGGGGCTGAAGTGTCCCCTTGGGGGCCAGAGCACCCCCTTGGTGGGGAAAGGCATCCCCTTGGGGTACCAGGAGAACCCTGTGGGGCTGGAGTGTCCCCCTGAGGGACTGGGACATTCCCCTGGGGTGGGGTTGGGCAGGGGGGGATGCCCCAGGATGGGGATGGGATCAGGGGATGTCCCCTGGCTGGGGAGGAGTCTCCCACGTGGGCCAGGGTGGGTCACACGTTGGGTGGTGCCAGGACGGGGTTCCAGGAGTGGTGTCACCCCCTCAACCAGCCCATCCCCGTGAGGACACGACCCCGTGGGAGGATGTTCTGGCAGCTTTGGGGGTGCCCCTGTTCTCCCACCTCCCTGCTTCCTTCTCCAGCTTCCCAACCCCCACCTGGCACCTCTCTTGGGGGCCATGCTGGGACAATGGAAAACTTCCTGTGTGGATGCAGAGAAAATCTGTGACCTCCCCCCTCCCAGGGAGCAGAAACCCCCCCGGGGTGCTTGGATACGGTGCCGCAGGATGAGGAGCAGGGAGTGGAGGCTGCAGGGAGAGGCTCCTCTCACAGGAGCATCTCTGGCTGGGTTCCATCATTTTTAGTCTCATTTTCCCCAAAAAACTCGACCCAGCTCCCCTGGCTGTGGGTTTATGGCAGGGCAGGGCTCGGCTGTGGGGGAGCAGGAGGGTGGGGATGAGGTTCTGGGCAGAGCCAGGGGTGGATCCTGCTCCGGAGGGGGTGAACCAGGAGCATCCCCTGGGAGATCCCTGGAGCCACATTCCTGGGTTGGATCCTGGGGTGTGGGGGGTGCCCAGCAAGGAGTGGGGTCACCCCAGCCCCGGGAGGGGTCCCCTTTGTCACCCAGCAGCACCAACAATGTGATGTCTCCCTGGCACTGGGGGCAGGTCTTTGAGTCACCCAGCACAGCATGAGGTGTCCCCAGCCCCGGGAGGGGTCCCCTTTGTCACCCAGCAACAGCAACAGTGTGATGCCTCCCTGGCACTGGGGACAGGCCCCCTTTGTCACCCAGCAGCTCTCGTGGGGGTGGCTCAGCAGTGACATCCCCCTGCCTGGCTCTCCCAGGGGGGAAAGGGACAAAACCATGTCCCCAGGGGCTGTCCCTCATCCCACAGGGTGACCCAAAACTGTGTCCCCACGGGCTGCCCCTCATCCCACAGGGTG